TGATAAATAATAAATATTCGGTTATCCTCATTAAAAATTGCATGAACGGTCCCTAATATTATTGTTAGATGATTTAAACTATATAATAGTCTAAATCATAATCTGCCACCTGATTTATTTAATAGTTAGAAATTTGCTCATTTTTCAATTGGGTATCAATCAAAATTAAACTATTATAACATTTACTATTTGCTGATCAATTATAATAAGACGCGACACGTATTATATTAATAAAAGTACATCAGGAAAGTTTTTGGGGTACAAAACTGCGGAGATCTGCAAAATTAGCTTTTTTTTTGTCATTTTTTGTGTATTTCTGCGAAGTTCTGCAACTTCGCAGATAATTGAATATTTTTATCTATAAAATCAGAGAAATTCTGCAATTTTGCAGAATTTCATTCAACAGAAAATTTAAAACAAGCCAGACTTGCGAAGTTCTGCAAAATAGCAATATTGCAAAATTTTTTATGGAGCAGTTCTTCGCAATTCGGTAATTCCAGTGTACATTGGAAAAAGAATTGCACTGATTGGTTATATGGGATGATCAGTTACTAGCCGAATTTAGACTTTGACATTTATTTAAACTTTAAACTTGATAAAGTTTCAAAACTTAATCTTTTTCCTTTTGAAAAGTTTCGAAACTAAAAGAAAAAACTATCTTTTTTCTTTTAAAAAGTATCGAAGCTAAAAGACGAAATTTTTTTTAAAAAAAATTAATTTTCGTAGGACACCAGCCCTACGAAGTTTCTGAAAGTTTCGAAGTACAGGATGAACAAAATTAGTAATTTTGTCCAACTTCGAAGTTTTTTTTAAAATTTCGAAGGTAAGTTCGAAATTTTACTTTTTTTTTCATTTACTTCTAAACGAAACGTTTCTAAACGTTTCGAAATATATTGTTTTTAATTTAATTACTTTTATCGAAACGTTTGTTAACGTTTCAATAATTTTATTATTTTTATTTTTAACGAAACGTTTTTTAACGTTTCGAAATTTTATTTTAAAAAATTTTATCAGAACATTAAAAAACGTTCCGATTTTTGATTTTTTTTATCGAAACGTATTTTAACGTTTCGAAATTTTATTTTTCTTTATATCGAAACATTAAAAATGGTTCGATTCATTTTTTATTCTTAATTTTTAAACGAAACGTTTTTAACGTTTCAATTTTATTCTTAATTTTCAAACGAAACATTTTTAACGTTTTGATTTTATTCTTAATTTTCAAACGAAACGTTAAAAATGTTTCGATTATTTTTTTTAATTTTCTTAATTTTCTTTATATCGAAACGTTAAAAAACATTTCGATTTTTAGTTTAATTTTTAAACGATACGTTTTTAACGTTTCGAAATTTTTTTTTAAATTTTTCTTTATATCGAAACGTTAAATATCGAAATGTTTTTAACGTTTCGATTTTTTTAAAATTCTTTTATTGGAACGTTTATTAACGTTCCGATTTTTTTTTCGAATTTTTTTGTAGGGTTCCGGCGCTTTCTAGACGAATTTCGAAGGTAAAACTTCGAAATTGTTTCTTTTTTTTCATTTATTTAATGAAACGTTTATTAACGTTTCACTTTTTTTTTAGATTTTCATCTTTCCAGTAGTTTTCTGGGTGGAACTTCGAAGGTATTTACCTTTGAAGAATTAATTTTCCGGATGCTGTTTTTACCTTGCCACTTTTGAATTGTGTAAAAAAGTTGGCCATTCATAGGAGACTGGACGGAATTTCGAAGGTAAAAAAAAAACTTCGAAATTATTAATTTTATTTTCTTTTATTTTTTTTTTGTTTAATGAACGTTTGCTAACGTTCTTTATCTTTTTAGGTACAGAAAGCCGATTGGAATCCCAATTCGAAGGTAAACTTCGAATTTTATTTTATTTCTTCTTAAACGAAATGTTTGCTAACATTTTCGTTTTTTTCTTTTTTGTAGACCTATGGCCTTCCAGATGGGTTCCTGAGCAAAAATTTAAAGGTATTTACTACCTTGTATTTTTTTTTGTTATTGTTAACGAAATGTTCTTATTAACATTTTGATTTTTTACTTTTGTGGGTCCATGACTTCTGAAAACTTTTTCGAAGGTAAAACTTTGAAATTCTTTGGTTTTAATTTAATAAAACGTTTATTAGTAACAGTTTGTTTTTTTTGTAGGGTTTTGGTTCTCCGGATCTTGGACAAAAGAATTTGAAGGTAAACCTTCAAAAATCTTTATATTTTTGTGGTTTTTTTCTTTAACGAACGTTCTACTAACGTTCGCTATTCTTTTATTTTTAGGTCCTGGCTCCCATTTGAAAGAACTTCGAAGGTAATAACACTTCGAAGTTCTTTATTTTTAGTTTTAATGAACGTTCTACTAATGTTCATTTTTTATTATTTTTAGGTTCCGGACTTCCATTTGGAGAACTTGGAAGAACTTCGAAGATAATAGCACTTCAAAGTTCTTTATTTTTAATTTTCTTTAATGAACGTTCTACTAACGTTTCGTTATTTTATTTTTTTTAGGTCCAGAACGCCGAAGGTATGTTCCGGACCCATTTGAAGGTAAAACCTTCGAAATTATTTTTTTTTTTAATTAATTTATTAACGAACGTTAACTAACGTTCGTATTTCATTTTTTTTTAGGTAAAGAAAGCCGGAAACTAGTTCCGGACTTCCATATCGAAGGTAAAACCTTCGAAAATTTTATTTTTTAATAATAATTTGGTGAACGTTAATTAACATTCGTACTTCTTTTTATTTTTAGGTGAAGGAAGCCGAAAGACTTCGAATTTTTTTTTTCTTGGATACTAAGAGAGGGTAAGTTTCGTAACGAATTTTCATTATGAAACTTTAATTTTTTTTTCGTTTTTTTAAGAAACATTGACTAATGTTTCTTATTTATTTTTGTAGATTCTGATACTCGAATCCAAAACTAAATGGTAAGTTTCGTAACGAATTTTTTCGTTACGAAGCTTAGTTTTTTTTTTATTTTATAAAAGAACGTTTCTAACGTTCTTTATTCTTTTTTGTAGTTTCGGTACTCCAAAGATTCCCGAAACGAAAATNCGAAAATGGTAAGTTCGCAACGTCTCATTGCAAAACTTTATATATATATTTTTTAATTTTATAAAGGTTAAAGAACATTTTTCTAACGTTCTTTTATTCTTTTTTTTTAGATTTTCGGCTCGTCTAGATTTCAACATGGTAAGTTTCGTAATGAACTTTTCGTTACAAAACTAATATTTTTTTTTATTTTATTTAAACAAAACGTTACTAACGTTTTGGTTTTCTTTTTTTTTTGGGTTTTCTGCTTTCCGGGCGGCATTTCGAAGGTGAAACTTTAAAAAAAAAATTTTTTTTTATTTTATTTTAACGAACGTTAACTAACGTTCGTTCTTAATTTTGTAGGTCCAGAACACCAAAGTGCGGGGCTCTGATTTGGCCAATCCTATAGGTAAAGTTTTAAAGTTTCTTCCTTCAAAACTTTCATAAAAAACGTTTATTTTTAACGTTTTTTATATTTTTTATAGGAAATCGGCTCTGATTTGGCCAATCCTATAGGTAAAGCTTTGAAGTTTCTTCCTTTGAAACTTTCATAAAAAACGTTTATTTTTAACATTTTTTATATTTTTTATAGGAAATCGGCTCTGATTTGGCCAATCCTATAGGTAAAGTTTCAAATTTTTGAAACTTAATAAAAAAACGTTTATTTTAACGTTTTTTAATTATTTTTTATTTTTTATTTTGCAGGGAAATCGGCTCCAATTTGGATACCGGAATCCTGCAAGTAAAGTTTCGATTTTTGAAACTTTTTGATGAAACTTAATAAAAACATTAACGTTTTTTTATTATATTTTATTGATTTTTTTTGCAGGGAAATCGGCTCCAATTTGGATACCAGAATCCCGCAAGTAAAGTTTCTATTTTTGAAACTTTTTGATGAAACTTAATAAAAAACATTTAATTTAACGTTTTTTTATTATTTTTATTATTTTTTTGTAGGGAAATCGGCTCCGATTTGCCATCCTACAGGTAACGTTTTGATTTTCTGGAAATTAAGGAATTTAACGTATACCGGATTTCCAGGTTAGTTTCAAAATAAAAAATTCGAAACTTTTATAAAAAAGTATTTTATTATTTACGCAATTAAACATTTTTAACGTTATTCTGGGGTCTTTTAGACGCATGGAAATTCAGTAAGGTGATTTTAAAAGGCTACTTCACCTTTCAAGTTTTCAGGCAACTGGAATATTGATTTTTGGGCGAAATTGTTTTATATGTATATGTAATATTTTAAATTTCAGAATGAAATTTACTGTAATTTGCGATACAATTCAGAATAAAATTTACTGCAATTCAGATGCAATTCAGAATAAAATTAACTGCAATTCAGAATAAAATTTACCACAATTCAGAATAAATTTACCGCAATTCAGAATAGAAATTTACCACAATTCAGATTAAATTTACCGCAATTCAAATTAAATTTACCGCAATTCAGAATAGAAAATTTACTGCAATTCAGATTAAAATTTACCGCAATTCAGATTAAAATTTACCGCAATTCAGAATAAATTTACCGCGATTCAGAATAAATTTACCGCAATTCAGAATAAATTTACCGCAATTCAGAATAGAAAATTTACCGCAATTCAGATTAAAATTTACTGTAATTCAGATTAAAATTTACTGCAATTCAGATCAAAATTTACTGCAATTCAGATTAAAATTTATCGCAATTTATCAAAATTTATCATAATTCAGAATAAATTCACTGCAATTCGGTAAATTTATGAATATATTTTTTTAAACAATTTGGATTAAAAATACTAAGCAATTCAGATACAATTTGGATATTCTGATCAGCGTCGATCGGCCTGCCAATCGGAACTTTGCCTAAATTAATAAATCGGCCATCTTTATCACCAAATTCGGCCTAAAATCGGACATCCGATTTCTAGCCGATTTGGACTATTTCGACCAGTGTTTATTTTAAAAGTTTTATTTTCCCAGGATTCATTACTTTTATTTTTCAAAAAATAAAGATTTTCTCTATAATGGAATATAATAATAGTGAAATGTCTGATTGTTCTTCCAATTCAGATGGTGGTTCTTTTATTAATTGTGAAAAGGAATCTACATTGAAAAAAATTGCAGAACTTAAAAAAAAAATTATGAAACTTGAAAATACTTCTATAAAAAAGGAAAAGACAAAGAGAAAATCGAACCAAAAACTTGTAGATAAAGAATCTTTTGCCATAACAAATAAAACAAAAGGATCATCAAATCAAAGTCGTTTAAAGGATAAATCTTTTAATAATAAATATAATAGTAAAAGTCAGCCAACCCTCTCTGAAGAAGATAATACTGAATTTTCTAGTGATGAACCTAAACAGGTGGCAATTATTTTAAATATAACATTTTATTGTTATTTTTATTTATTATTTTAAAATATATAATAGCCAATATTCAAGAAGAAAATATAAACTATCAAAAGATTCCTTCTTTTCTTCATATCCCAAAGAGTATTTGGCGTGGCTATGTGGTCAGTATATAATATTATTATTAATATTTGAGATAAATGTTTAACTTTAATATACTACTGCAGGAATCAATGAGACTTTTAGTAGCTGAAAAACTTAATATCGTGATATACCTATTAATGAAATTAATAAATGTATTGATAAGGTAAATACTAACTGCTGTAATCCTGAATTCCATTTATTTAACACTTTTTAACCAATTTTTTTTATTGTATTAGTTTCATAAGAAAAATCCATCCTTTCCAGAAACTGTTAGTGATTGGGCAGAACGTGAGATGATTTGTTGACATATAAATTATAGACGTAAGTTTATCTTAATTTAATATTGTTTTGTCATTATTCTGCTATTTTACTAAAATTTTCAACATTTTATAGGGTCAATTCTTAATCTTAGCGAAATGCATAAGACAAATATTTCTGTTAATAAAGCTAAGATCCGAAAACCAAATGGTAATAGTAAAAGAGCCAAAAAAAAGGAAATGAACTATTAACAAAAAATTGAATCATGGTAATTTTTAATTTTGATGAAATATTTTAAAATGAATCAAATTAATAATATTACTACCAATCAAACAGAACCATTATTGGTATCCAACAGCCCGAATATAGAAAGTTTGGAAAGGCTTGATAATAATAAATCTTTACCGAGTAAGAGTAAGCTCATAGATTCTTTAATACATATGTAATCAACTAAATATATAAAATATATTACAATAGAATTATTAGAAGCCGTTGATGTCTCCCCAGCTTATTCTAAACGTCCTGGCCATAAACATAAAATAACACAATCATCTGATAAAGAAGAAGCTATTGAAGACGTTGAAGTTGTAAGAATTCCTCCAGCAAAACATCCTGGTCGTAAACGTAAGATAACACAGCCATCTGATGATGAAAAAGGTGTTGAGGACGTCGAAACTATCAGAATTCCTCCAGCAAAACATCCTGGTCATAAAACTAAAGTAGCACAACCACCTGATGATGAGAAAGGTGTTGAAGATGCTGAAACTATCAGAATTCCTCCAGCAAAAAGTCCTAGTCGTAAATGTAAAGCGGTATAACATTATTTAATATATTTATCTATGTATTTGATATTTTATAAATTAGTACATATTTAATATATTATACTTTAATATATTACATTCTATATATTTTATACATATGTAAAACAAAATATATACAAATGTATTTCAAATGCTAAATAAAAGTATTACGAGTTTGCTACAAATCATTTACAAATTTTGTATAAATGGATGCTCATAATTGTATTAAACTTGTTATGTTAAAATATATTACATTTTTTATACGAAAATTTGACAAATACTTTTTACTGGGTTGAGTAGGTTAATTATAAAAAACTGTTATTGTTACACAAAGTTAAAAAACTTGCTTATAAGTAAACTATGATCACAAACATCTTTCATCTAATTCAGTATATATATATAGTCAAATTTTTAACTTATAATAATTTGGCTAATATCAGTGCTAGAAATGTGATTTTACTATCATTAGATTCCTCCAATTAAGATGAATATAATGATATAAAATTCATTAAAATCAAATGATTAATAATATAGTCAATATTATTTACCCCCTATAAACAAGTAGCACTGCTTATACAACTACATATTACATATTGGTCAGAAGTGTAATTAATATATTATTTGAATAATATCTATTTTAACAGAAATTATAGGAAGGTTTATTGATTTTATAAAAACTAATTTATTTAAAATTACCTTCATCAGTGACTTTTAATATATAAAGTACTTTGTAAACACATAATATTATGCAGCCTATCAGCATAATATTTAGTTATTGTATTATTGTATTGTAGATTAGAAAAATTCTTTATGATACTTATAAAGATGAGTCACATTTGTCACATCAATTGATTCATAAATTGATCTGAAACTAGTACTGTAATATGATTATGATAATATAGGTACTTCAAAAAAAAATAGTAAAAAAATTAATTTATCAGTAAAAATTTATGCGAAAGGAATGTGCTACGAAAAAAAAGATTATCTCTAATGTGATATGACTATTTTTTTTTGTTGTACAAAATTCGGACAATATATATAACGAAAATGTATATATATTATTTCAAGTCATTGGCTGAGACGATGAGTTTATAGTCACATTATTAAATTAAAAAGTAAATTAATATTGGTGAATAACAGATATTGCTATATTTACTATAGCATTTATAGCTACATGACAGTCATTAGATACAATGACACAGATTTCCAGATAGTAGAGGTATCATAATAAGTGTTATATACTTGGAAATGATTTGACCTTATAGCATCAGATAAATAGATAAACTATATATTATTTATTATTTATAATATCGCCAGACTATTAAAAAATAATTGTAATATTAAAATGTATTTTTCAAATTTTGGCATGTCAGTGGCAAAATTTACAGCCGATCACCCATTATACTATAATATTTATAATATTATTACGCATGTCAGTTATCATCTGATGATATATATTGTTAACAAAAATTTTAGATTTACACAATTTAGTTTTAGTTTTAAAATTTGTAAGTTTTTGATACGATTATGATACGGTTACTTAGTTATATGGGGTAGAAAGAATTTCTTTCTATACTCTAGGTGCCTTTGTATTATTAATAATTATGATCCTTGATCTCATATAATTATAATAAAGCGAGTTACTATTTTTTTTTTTTTTAAAAAAAAACATCTGATGATATATTTATTGCAATATAGTATTATACTATTCAAATATTCAAATATGTTCAAATGAATATTGCATAAGTAATTTTGTGGTCGTTATCCGATTACGTGTTTAGTGGAAGCTGTGCAGAAAGTGACTTACTAATATCCATTTTGACAAAATTTATTTTTGTCACTGCATGTCCGTGTAAGTATCATTTTTATTCTATCTAGAATATCAATGTAAACTGATAATCTGACGATTAACTCGTTTGCACATATATATTTTTGATTTTGGTGATAACAGGGTCCTTCACATGATCAAAGATGATTTATGAAAAATAAGATGTAAACAAAATTCGAAACAAAACTTTTCTTAATATCTTAACATCAAAGGTAGGATAGAATAGCATGATTATAATAAGATGCGGGTTGGTATTTTGTTTTTGTATTCAGAGGATCATTATTTCGCATGTACTATCCCTATAAAAAATAAGTGTCCTGAAAATATCCAGAAATTGTCCGGAAAATTTGTCTAAATAATTGTCTGGAAAATGTCCGGAAAATGCCAGGTACCATGTCCGGAAATTGTTCCAAAAACACACTCGTTTCCGGACACTCATTTTGTCCAGAATTTGTTCGGAAATTGACCTGAAATATTTTTTCATAAAATTTGGCACAAAAAGATGATCAACAGGTGACCATCATTATAATTGCTTTTAACCTAAAGTTTTATATCATAGATATATAGTATTTTTGCCTGCTCAGCAAATTTAATTAGTATGACAAAGAAGGTTATGAATGTCAGTCTTGTGCTTTTAGCATTTTTTTACAAAATTAATTTATCCTTTTTTGGAAGTAGCGTCCAGAATTTGTCCAGAATTTTTTCATGTCCGGAATTTGTCCAGTTCAAATTATCTGAATTTTTACTATGTCCGGAATTTGTCCAGGTTTATCTGTCCGGAATTTGTCCAAAATTTTATACTGGACAAATTCTGGATATATTCTGGACAAAGTCCGGATATGTCAAAATTTTAGGTATCAAATTTGTAGCAAAAAATAGACATTTTCTGGACAATTTCTGGATATGCCAGATTTATTCTGGACAATTTCCGGACATTTTCGTAGACATTTTCTGGACATTTATTTTTTATAGGGCTAATTTATTTCAAAATTTTGCAATAAATTCGATATTTATACATTTTTAAGAAAAAATCTTTGAATACTTACTATATTCTCTAAGTATAATTCGTGTTGTCTGTTTCTTTCTTATAAAGAAGTCATCAAAATGTTTTTCATGCGATTACTGTTGTGAAACAAATTAAGATGTGGAATCCGTCAGATGATGAAAACTTAAAAATATTGAGTCAATCATTGAAAGTGAAAGCATTTGTGAATCAGTTGTCAAAAAGGAGTGTACTGATGAAAATAGAGGAAGATGTGGGTGGAGGGTAATTTTCATTTGAAATGATTATACTACAGATACAACTGGATATCGTGTCTTGAATAAAATTTCCTTGAAACATGTTGCTATTACAAGTTTTATCCGCAAGACATGAGGAATTAAAGAAATACATCCAACCAGATATTCATGTAACATTCTGAACAGGGAGAAACTTAATGGCGTCTCTCCAGTTATAGAAGGATTCTACGTTCAGGGATAGGTGTTAAATGTGGAAGAGATGGATTCCGTTCTTAATCATCAAGGATCAGGGAACTAGTAGAAAAATCTTTTGAAATGTTCATCCTCTAAACACAAACAAATTTTTATGGCAAGTCTTTTAATGGTTATAAAGAATTCGTAAAAAATACTTTTAGATACTAAATTAATCAATCACAGAAAACACACATATTAATATGGGAATTAATCAAACCATTTGTGATCTTGTAATTGAAAAATGACAATTAACATGGGAGAATTAAGGTGTGGTTACAATCGGTATTAATAACATAATGTGTCAGATTCGTTTCACATAAAAAGTACAATTAAGTTTGATTGTTAATATTTTTATTGAATAATTAATCAGCCATTAAACAGTGATATAAACGAAGAAAAATCATAGTTATGATTAAGGCTGATCCTTGATGTGAACCGAGTTCATAGACTACTCATGTGACTTTTAACAAGCGTGCATTTTGAATATTGTTTTACCGGCAAATATATTGTTTTGATTAAGGTGATTTAACAGTGACGCCATACATATTATAAATAAATATTATACAGTACAAGTGTACTGCTGTTATTGTTTCCATTCCATCACGGGATATTATTGTTGCCATTTCCATTACCGTTACTGATAAATAGAGTGTAATGATTAATGCGGTCGAGTTGCTAGTGTATTAGTATATTGCGTTTTCTATTGATATATATGTATACTGTATCGTACCAATTTACACAGTGAAATTCGATAAACCGGATCTATCAGTTCCACTAAAAATATCTGGTTTATCGGGATATCTGGTATAGCGAAAAAATTTTGATATATTGGAAATCTATTATACTGAATTTTTTTTAGAGAATTCATGCTAATAAAATTAAGATACACTATATTTTAATTTTTCATCTTAGTTTTAAATTGAAAATGAATATAAAATATTTTTAATTGAATATATAAGTAATATATAACTCTGGCCAGAATTAAGATTTTTATAATTCTGGCCAAAATTAAGATTTACCGCATTATGTTACTTAAATTTTATTGGTTAATTATTACGTGATCCGGTTTATCGAATCATTTTTACTATCATATAGCTGGTTAGAAAATTGATCTGTTATATTGAATATTGAGCTTTTACTAGTAAACTCCAGTATATCGAAACAGGACTCCAAACAATATATATAAAGGTAGGTTTTGAGTTTGCTTAACCAACATATAAAAATTTTTCCTATGTGAGATAACTGAGATTTATTATTGCTTATTTGATAACATAATTTTTAAATAGTCAAATATATATTTACGTAGCAGGATAGATTTTTTTTAATATCACAGGTCGAAGGGGCACCATTGTCCAAAATTCAAAAAATGCAAATTTCACATTTTTCTGGAAAATGGTGGGAAATTGTGGAAAATGCTGCATTACGCTGAGCAATTTTTTGGAATAGCATTATTACAACATTGTTCGATTTAGCAAATTTTATGAAAATTTGGGAAAATGCTACATTATATCTCAAATGTAACATTTTGTAACATTTTGTAACATTGTTATAACATTGTCATTAAAATCAAATTTTGCTTTTTTTTTGTCAAATG